GATGCTTGCTTAAACTGGCCACTTCTGGGTTTGGCATAGCTGGAAATATCTGGAACAGGTAGGTAAATTTTGGGGCGATGTAGAAGATGGGTGGATGGATGGACAGACAGACAGATGATAAATAGATGATGGATGGAGATGGATGGATGGATGGATAAAATGATAGATGATAGATAGAATAATTTGAATATATAAAATTGGAAGGGACCTTGGAGGTCATCTGGTCCAACCCCCTGCTCAGGCAGGAAACCCTATACCATTTCGGACAAATGACTGTCCAGGCTCTTCTTAAAAACTTCCAGTGTTGGAGCATTCACCACTTCTGGAGGCAGGTTGTTCCACTGGTTAATTGTTCTAACTGTCAGGAAGTTTCTCCTTAGTTCCAGGTTGCTTCAAGTCTCCTTGATAGTAGTAGTAGTAGTAGTAGTAGTAGTAGTAGTAGTAGTAGTAGTAATGTTGGAAGGGACCTTGGAGGTCATCTAGTCCAACTCAGGAAGGAAACCCTATACCATTTCAGACAAATGGCTGTCCAGTCTCTTCTTAAAAACTTCCAGTGTTGGAGCATTCACCACTTCTGGAGGCAGGTTGATAGATAGATACATAAATCAGTGATGGATGAGTGGAAAGATAGATAGACAGATAGATAGATAGATAGATAGATAGATAGATAGATAGATAGATAGATAGATAGATAGATAGATAACAGACAGACAGACAGAAAGACATGATAAATTGATGGATGGATGATAAATGATGGATGGGCGGATGGATAAAATGGTAGACACATAAATAGGGGATGGGTGGGTGGGTGGGTGAGTGGATGGATGGATGGGAGGATAAAAAGATAGATACATAGATCAATGATGGATGAGTGGATTGATAAAATGATAGATAGAGATAGACAGACAAACAGACACATGATACATTGATGGATGATAAATGATGGACGGGTGGATGGATAAAATGATAGACACAGAAATAGAGGATGGGTGGATGGATGGATGGGTGGGTGAGTGAGTGGATGGATGGGAGGATAAAAAGATAGATGGATAGATTGATGGATGAAGATGGATGGGTGGATGGATAAAATGATAGACATAAATAGAGGATGGGTGGGTGGTGGGTGGGTGGATGGAAGGAAGACAGACACAGAAAGACAGACAGACAGGATGTCAAAGCACTTTAGAGCTTCACCCAGAGACTTGCTTGCAGAATTGCAAGCAGCCAGTGTTTGTGCAAGATTCCCTCAACGTGTGAGGAGTGTAATGCGTAGTTCGACTGTTATCAAGGAAAAAGAAGAACCCCAGTTCAAATTTGCCAGAGACGAGAAGAATGATAAACCCTTTGCTTGTCTCACTTATCACATAGTTCATCATTCACCCACCTCTTTGCTCTTATGTGGTGAGCAACTATATCGGAAGCCGTTAAAACCACCAAGCACAGATTTTTGAGATCAGAAACTGCTGATCTTGGGATCTTGTCCTATCTGGGTAACAAAATTTTGCCTTTTGCTTTGATGCATTTCTGCATCGAAATGGCTCCTGGTTAGTTCAGACACATGTAGCAATTACAGCTTTGTATCCACACTGCTGGCTCATCCTTTCATTAGATGTTGTTTGTGGTAGCAGAGAGAAATTTGTCATTATTTAGCTGCTCCCTTACCAACTTGTTTTTTGGGTGTGTGTTTTTTCCCTCTCTTAAAGCTTTCAGAAAGCTGAACGCGAAGAGAAATGGAGAACAAGAATGGATCATATCTCTGGCTTCACAAGTCTTGAAAAATGCAATTAAGAATCGAACTCACTGGAATGTTTTCTCATTTGGAGCTGTTGGCAGCATAAATTGTGTGTGGTTGCTTTTTTATCTCTGATTTTTAATAGAGAGGGAAGTGATTTTCTTGGAAATGTTTGTTGGGGTTTTTTTGCTGTGACCTATTACAGCCTAAATATTTATCCAGGAACATAATTTAATTTAATTTAATGCATTCTAGCAAAGCGTTCTTTGGTAAATGATTACTTGCACATAATTTATAAGGGGCCTTTAGTAGCTGCCCAAATATTCAGATCAAGACCTGAACCTTAAAAAAAGGGGGGGAATGGGTGTCAAAGTATTGTAAATATTTTAATTCTGTTTTTAATCTTGCCTTTAGTGTTGTAAAAGTTCATTTTATTCTGTTGCATAAATATTCTATTATTTTATCCCTAGCTTAAAGATGTTTTGTCAGGCAGAGGGATGAGATAGTTTTTAATCTTTGTGTGTGTTGATTTTGTAGTAAAAAGTTGTACACTGAGGTCCCAGTTTGTTTTGTGTGATCTTTGTATGGAGGAAAAAAAATCCAGCAACTTTGAGGTCCTTTGTAGGGACCATTTGAGACTAACTCCTGGTCCCTTTGTGGCGCTCACTACATTTTAATCTTTGTATGTGTTGATTTTGTAGTAAAAAGTTGTACGGTGAGATCCCAGTTTGTTTTGTGTGATCTTTGCTTGGAGGAAAAAATTCCAGCAATTTTGAAGTCCTTTTGTAGGGAACCATTTGAGACCAACTCCTGGTCCTTTTGTGGAGCTCACTATATTTTCCCTGCTTTGGTCCATAATTATTATAAGTTAATTTATCTTAAAGCAGATTCTCACCAACAGTTCTATTTATTATAACAGAACTGATGCTGAGAATCTGATTTAAATGTCCGATGATGTTAAAAATAAGACACGGTTAACATAAACCCACATTTTGGATCAGGTAGAAATCCATGTATTAATTTGTAACATAGCAGCAACTTCAAATTTGAATTGAAATCTGGGCCCAGTTGATGGGCAAAATGAAAAAGTTGCCGTTCCGAGGGCCGTACTTTTAAGAAGCCTCGCGCTTCTAATCAATGCAGCATCTTTGCCCCTTTCAATGTATTTTCCTCTAAGAAAGTGGCAATTTTAGTGCAGGATGAAGAAGAAACAGCATACAGAAGAACAGAGCTGGAAGGGGGCCTTGGAGGTCTTCTAGTCCAACCCCCTGCTCAAGCAGGAGACCCTATTCCTTTTCAGACAAATGGCTGTCCAGTCTCTTCTTGAAAAATCTCCAGTGAAGGCAAGCCGTTCCACTGATCAATTGTTCTCGCTGTCAGGAAATTTCTCCTTCGTTCTAGGTTGGTTCTTTCCTTGATTAGTTTCCATCCGTTGCTTCTTGTCTTGCCTTCTGCTGCTTCTTGCCTCTTTTCTGTGGTAGCCCTTCAAATATTGGAAGACTGCTATCCTGTCCCCCCCCCCCCCAGTTCTTCTTTTCACTAGACAAGACGTATCCAATTCCTGCAACCGTTCTTCATATATTTTAGCCTCCAGCCCCCTAATCATCTTCTTAAAAATTCTTAAAAAGCTGTAGGAAACCACCCAGGATCGCTTACTATCCTTTTGTCTAAATATGACACAGGCCATCCATGTCACGTGTGGCTCTGTGTTGCCATTTCTTCTCTGTTGTTTGCCTAGCATCATTTACGTTGAATAATAGTGTTCTCCCTCAGATGAAGAGTCTCTACGGAATTGTAGCCAAAAACAAGCTAGCAAGCAAGGAGAAGTAAATAAAACATCCTTGGGGAAGATGGTAAACTGGGTTAATCGAGGTGCATGAGCAGGGGCTCCTGAATCTAAAAGCCTAATAAAGATTGGAAGTGGGCTTATTTAATCCTGAACTAACTGTCAGGTGCAAGAAGTCAGAAACCAGGATTTGAAACCAGTACTTTTGACTGCAAGTTTGAGGGATCCCCAATGTTCACTGAGCTTAGTTGTTTTCTTGCAGACATTTTGTTACCCAGCTAAGTAACGTCAGCAGCAACACTGGTGAGGTTCCTAGTTTGGGTAATGAAACATCTGCAAAAAAACCAACAACCAAGCTCAGAGACCACCGAGGACCCCTCATTTCAATCCTGAGCCCCAAATATTCTCCTATTGGTACCACTTATGGATGTCACTCTTCACAAAGCATGGAAGTGGCAGAAATTTGCATGTAGGCAAAGCTAGAACTGATGGTGTTAGCTAGTTGGGTAATGAAATGTCTGCAAGAAAACAACCAAGCTCAGAGAGCACCAAGGAACCCACAGTCGTCGTCCTCCTCCTCCTCCTCCTCCTCCTCCTCCTCCTCCTCCTCCTCCTCCTCCTCCTCCTCCACCTCCCATTCTGATTTCTTCACTCTGAAAATCTCACTCCCTTCCAGCACTGATGATGTTATCTAGTTGGGTAATGAAACATCTGCAAGAAAACAAGCAAGCTCAGAGAGCACCAAGGACCCTCATTTCAATTCTTAAGCTACAAATATTCTCCTTTATCGTTACTACAAGTTTATTCCATGCTAACTCTACACAAGACTCTGAAGTACTAACAGTCAAGGTGAACTGGCGCCAGATAAGAGTCAACACACTGTTGGGGGACTGGGGTCTGGACTTAGGTCTGTTACGGGGTGTAGTGACATTAAATGGATGATGCATTTGACCCCATACTCAGCCTGGTCATCTACATTAACTGAGCTAGCCCATTTTTTATATTGGCACAAAACCAGAATTTCAAGGTAACCGCCAGGACAGTTCACACTATAAAAATCTAATCAAGATTAACCCTAACCAAGCCTAGTTTGTTGCATAGAGCCAGTCACCATATTTTTGCATGCCTTCATTCACCAGTCTCCAGGTCTTGAAACAGCTCGGTTGAACCCGTTGAGTGAGCAAGCCTTCCATGAGAAACGGGAAGCTTGTTGTGATGGAAGAGAGAATGGCACATTGCCAAGGACTTCCATTGCTAACTGGTGCACATCCTCAACCGGAACACTTCCATTGGGAGGTGAAGCTGCCTTACGACACTGAAGCTATTAGGACTGCATGGCTCACATTCTTACAAATCACACTTCAAAAAACAAAAACGCAAGGTTTCCAGGCGTGGAAAGATTAACCGACTTGTTAGTGTAAAAAAAAAAAGTTAACTGTAAATAGGAGGATGCAGAAGAGATGGTTTTTTTTTTCATTTTTATTGTGGCCCAGAGGGAGACCCAATTTGGAACGCGAACCTGTTCAGGTGAGCTAAGGACCAAAGACCAGGCCCATCCAAAGACTGACCAGCAGTTCTCCTGGTGTCTCCAAAGAAGCAGAAAGAGTTGGACGTTCGTGTTCCTCAGAACTGGTCTCCCAGCGTTGCTATCCGTTGGAGAGCAGCCATCTCAGATAGGAGGAAGACTCAAAGGAGGAATCAGCCTAGACTCTCTACATAAAAACAAGAGGGCTAGATCTGACCCCACCCCTGAATTCCTTAAAGCCTTGTCTGGTCTTTCCCGGGCGAAAGCTGCCGATCTGGAGAGATTCCTGTGCTATAGGCAGAGAACAATAAAGTAGCTAGTTTGAGGGCTTAGTTCAGGGGTAGGCAACCTTGGCTCTTTTTATGACTCGTGGACTTCAACTCCCAGAATTCCTGAGCCAGCCGGGCTCAGCTTGGAAACCTCTCCCTTTCCCCTCAGCATGGCTGGCTCAGGAATTCTGGGAGTTGAAGTCCACAAGTCCTAAAAGAGCCAAGGTTGCCTACCCCTGGCCTAGTTGTTAGCGCCTGACAATACCCCACTGATGCAAGCGATCAAGACCTCCCCTAGCCACTCGCTTCCATGCATCAGAAATCTTCCCTTGCCCCTACATGTACAGTCACACGGAGAGGAATGAATTTATTTATTACATTTATACACTGCCCATCACGCCTAAGTGACTGGGCGACACCATAACACCATAACAAAACCAAATAAAAAACAAAAATAAAAGCACAGGTTAAAAACGAAGAGTTCCAAACAAATTATAACTTCCAACTACAAATAAAAACCGGAGTTAAAATTCAGAAGGCTAAAACGTTTAACAAGGCAGCAGGGTGCCCTCAAGCCATCCCCCCCCCCTCTCTCTCTCACACACACACAGCTTATTGGCAAAGCCAGGTCTTAACGCTCTTATGGGAACAGGATGGGGGTGCTCACCTCTGTTGAGTCAGATCTTCCAAAGGACTTGCCTTGGGGAGGAAGATGAAGCAGGCTTTGGGCCAGAGCAGGCCCACCTTTCTGGAGGAAGGCGGCATTGGCTTGAAAAGGTCACCCGTCTACCTGAATTCATCCATCACCTGGATGGTAGCTAAGATGCTGCCTGGGTTCCGCCTTCACGCTGCGCTCTCGGCGCCTGCAGCTTCTCCGCGACGGAGGAGGCCAAAGAGGGTCCTCCAGATGCGCTTTCCATCCAAGACCGGCGTCACATCTGGAGCGGGAAGAGGCTATTCTCGCCAGGAGCAACCGGGAGCGATCAGCTGGGATGGAGGAGAAGGACCAGGAGAAAGGGGAGGAGGAGGAGGGGGAGAAGGACCAGGAGGAGGAGGAGAAAGGGGGATAGGACCAGGAGGAGGAGGGGGAGGGGGACGGGAGATCGGGGGGGGGGAGGAAGAGGACCAGGAGGAGGAGCGCTTTGGGGCGAAAGGCGTTCGGCTCCCCCGCAAGGCGGCTCTGCGTGTCCCCCACCCACGCGTGTTCCCTGCGCGTCAGCGGGGAGGGGCTCAGCCGACGCTCCGTGCCCGCCTCCCTCCCTCCCTCCCCGCCTAGTGCTGGAGAGCCGGAATGGCAACGGCGTCGGCAGCCGCGGGAACCGTCGGAGGACACGCGGCGGCGAAGCCCGGAGCGCGGCGGGGCTGAGCAGGTAAGCCCCACCGAAGGGAGCCAGCATCAACCGGCGGGGCGCCCTTGGGTCCTGCACCGGAGCTGGCTCGCTTTGTCCAGCCGCCCCTCCCTCCCTCCCTCCCCCCCCGGGGGTGCGTTTTGTTCTCCGTGTGTGCAAAAGACCCCGGTCCTTGCAGTTGCCCCCCCTCACTTTGCAACTACCCCGGGGGTCTCTGCTTCCTCCCCCCCCCTTTTTTTTCTTCCTCCTTCCGCCTGGCCAGGTCGTTTCTCCCTAATTTCCGCGGCCCCCGCTCGTCTGTCTTAGGACCAGCCTGCCCTACCTCCCCCTTCTCCTCCGCCCGACCCTCCCTAGCTGCAGAGGCAGCCCTTCCGCAGGGCTCCCGGGAGCCCCTTCCCCACCTTTGGCTGGCTGGAGCCGTAATGTTGTGAGCAGGGTATGAATCACCCACTCTGGGCGATGACATCACTCCCTCTTTCCTCCCCAGACAGACAGCAGCTCTTTGCTCTTCCAAACAGCCGGCCGGGCATCTTTGGGGTGGGGTGGGGGGGGTCTGCGTCTGGGTTCCTTGGCCTGTCTGGAGAGCAGGATTGGGGTGGGTGAAAAAAGGGGGGGGTCTGGGCTTCCTAGCACAAAGGCAGCCCTTGGGGTGGAAGGGCCTGGGGCCAGCCTAAAGAGCTCCATCGGCAGGTAAGCAAGCTGGTTCCCGTCACCCAGTGCTGATGCTTTCCTCGGCCGTCTGCAGCAGCTACGCTAGAAGTAGCCCCATCGATGATCAGTGTGTGCCAGGCCTTTCTTTGATTTGGGGTGGGTTATGGGGTGGGGTGTCTTGCCCTTAAAAGAGGGTGGCCGTTGGCCTGCGAGCAACGGGCTGGAGAAGTTTTATGCAGGACTCTTGATCTTAAAGCCCTTTTCTGCTCAATCTTGACCAGGATGGCTTTACAAGGGCAGATGAACTGGCTTTGCAGGTTGCAGCTTTATCATGCAATCTGTTTTATCTGCGTTTTTTTTTTTTAAAAAAAAAATGTCACAACTAGCCAACGGACAAGACAAATGGAATGCGGTGTGGGACTGCTGGGAGGGGGGATCCCAGGCAATGTGGTTTGCGAAGGAGAATTCTTGGTTTGGCATTATGCAAACGGTTCAGTTACTACAGTTGCCCCACAGACCACTGCTGCTATGACAAAACGTCTTTGCACACAAGGTGGGAATCCAACTGGCGTTGACCTGCTGGGAAAGCAGCTTTCTCTGTTGCTAAGAGTTTGAGCCAGCTCTCTCCTGGGCTTAGGCATGCAGGCTGTAATTGAGGTCAAATGAGGGCAGCTGCAGAGGAGGAACATCGGTGGAATGACAGGAGCTCAGCTGGGTTCACACATGTTCCACTGAGAAGGATTTGGCTAGTGTGTGTTTGATGGATTGTGTGAAACCAAGTCCGCTCTTGCAAAGTAAAATTTAAAAAAAAGCATGACTTAGGGCAGGGATCTTCAAACTTGGCCCTTTGATGACTTGTGGACTTCAACTCCCAGAATTTGCTGGCCAAGGAATTCTGGGAGTTGAATTCTACAAGTCATCAAAGGGCCAAGTTTGAAGACCCCTTACTTATACAGCCTCTATATTTGCTTCATATGTTATTTATTTATTTATTTTGGTGGCTCTGTTTTGAATCCAGCTACAGGTAGTCCTGGACTTAACGACCTCAACCGAGCCCAAACTTTATGTTGCAAAGCGAGAAAAATGATCGTAAGTCATTTTTTTCAGTCCCGTTGTAACTTTGAACGATTTGCAAGTCAAGAACTACCTGTAATTCTGGCCTGTCCCACAGTCAACCTACAAATGCTTCCTTTCTTAGAGTCACAACATAATAATAATAATAATAATAATAATAATAATAATAATAATAATAATAATAAAGTTGGAAGGGACCTTGGAGGTCATCTAGTCCAACCCCCTGCTCAGGCAGGAAACCCTATACCATTTCAGACAAATGGCTGTCCAGTCTCTTCTTAAAAACTTCCATTCATGCTATTCTTTCTCTCTCCCTTCTCTCTCTCTCCACTCATCCATCCATCCATCCATGCATCTATCTATCTATCTATCTATCTATCTATCTATCTATCTATCTATCTATCCATCCTTGATCTCCATAATCTATTTGGTCATGCCCCTTCCCAAAGTTTCCAAAGGAACAGTTCACATGTATAGAGATTGATGTATGTGTGGACTGACAATCGATTAATAAATAGACAGGCATACTTCAAGGAGCTATTCATAGACTTAATCTAAACAAGAATTAGCCAATCAGCTCTCCATATGCAAGAACGTTTGTTGAGACTGAAGCCTGAAATTAAGTTTGCATAGGAGAAATGCAAAGATCAAGTCTCCAGATTAATTCTGCATAATTGTTTGACATCTCCATGCAAGTTTCTTGGCTACAACTGGAAATGGTTTGCTGTTTTCTTTCTAACTGTGGTGTTGTTGTTTTTGTCATCTTCTCGGTCCAGCTTTCAGTCCTGGGAATTCCCCAATGGTTTCTCATCACAGGAGGGACCACACGTAGCTGTTGGAGAGTAACCACGATTGGTTAGGTGCCCCCGTTGAGAGTACCTTAGAGTAAAAGAGGGAGATGGATCTCTTCTTGTCTACCTTACATATAACTTGTCCTCCTTCCTGCATCAGCCAGAGTTAAACCTGGTTAGTTCTTGGATAGGAAACTATCAGGAGACCCAAGGTCTATAGGAGCTGCTCTCCAGTGAGATGGGTGTCATATAAATTTAATAAATAATCAAAAAGGATTGATTGAGGAGTTGAAACAATAATTCCTTAAAAGGTGATGGTTAATTGCTTCCATCCTCCAGAAAACTACTTGGAGATGGGCTTGAAGTTATCAGAAGTTCAGCTTCATTCAGGGAAGCTTTGCCTTTATTCCGTCTTTTCTCACACCCGTGGAATTGCTCCATGGCGCCCCTTTTTCCTTCAGCAATTCTGGATGGCGAATTAGGCTGATGACAGTCCCCGTCATCAGTGGATCATGCTGGCTGGCATGATGGGATTTGTAGTCAAGACCCCTGAAGGACGACATTGGATTGGAGAAAAATAAGTTAGAGAGACAGATAAAGAGTTCCCTCCGTGAATTTCATGGTTTCATGGAATGTTTTTAATGTCGATTGTAATATATTTTTAGATAGGTAGGTAGGTAGGTGGGTGGGTGGGTGTATGGATGATAGACAGAGGGATTTAAACTCAGCGGTCCTTAACATTAATTCCAAAATGACCTATGCTGAATATCATTGTTATATCTGATACCTTCTCTTTTGTGCGGTTAGAAGTCACATTTCCTGAGATTTATCATTTTCCATGTCCGTCACAAAAGCAGAAAAGCTAATTAGTACTTAGAAGCTAACCAAACATTCAAACTAGTTTTCTGACATGTTCTGGGAGAGCTAGGCGCCATAAAAAAGAACATAACAGTGTTTGGCACTTCTGGCTTGTGAAGTGGGTACACTTGTTCAAGAGCCTCACTTGCATTGGGGGGGGGTGTTCTTTAAGGGTGCTTCCATAAAAAAAAGTGGCATAACAACGCTATTCTTAAAAAAAACCCTGATATTATGTAGTCTTCGTGGGGGCAGGAATTAAAAAAAAATATATGGATGCCTTGAGAATTCCTTCTTGCATTTGCCAACAAATATTGGGACCCAAAAGCATTTTAGCCAGAAGTCTGGAGCCAATTGACCATCTGTCCTCCTTTTCTGTTTTATTTGTAGATTTCCAGAAAGCCAAGCTGAGAATAGTTTGGAACCAAGCAATTTCCTGTATTATCCAATTTGGGTAGTTCACGACTTAACGATTGTAATTGAGCCCAACATTTTTGTTGCTATGCGAGGCAGTTAAGTGACTTTTGCCCCGTTTTTACGACCTTTCTTTCCACAGTTACTAAGTGAACCAGTGCAGCGGTTAAATTAGTAAACGTGGTTGTGAAGTGAATTTGGCTCCCCCCTTGAGTTTGCTTGTCACCAGGACGCAAAAAGGGGATCACGTGACCCTGGGACATTGCGACCGTCATAAATAGAGAGAATAAATAATAAATAAATAGACCGTCATAAAGGAGAGAAGCAACCTAGAACTAAGGAGAAACTTCCTGACAGTTAGAACAATTAACCAGTGGAACAACCTGCCTCCAGAAGCGGTGAATGCTCCAACACTGGAAGTTTTTAAGAAGAGACTGGACAGCCATTTGTCTGAAATGGTATAGGGTTTCCTGCCTGAGCAGGGGGTTGGACTAGAAGACCTCCAAGGTCCCTTCTATTATTATAATTAATAATAATATGAGTCAGTTGCCAAGCTTCTCAATTTTGATTGCATGACCCCAAGGATGTTGCTCGGATGGTGTGAGAAACAATTATAACTCACTTTTTTCAGTGCCATTGTAACTTCAAAGGGGTCACCAAACAATCTATTTTTACATATATATATATATATTTTTAGGCTGAATGAGATGAAGGAAGCTGATATCTAGGAAGTGTTTTGTGGTCATAAATGCCACCAACCTCTGCTATTTTTTTCCCCAGTCCAGTGGACTTGGAACAGAAGCCTATTTACTTTTTTCGTTCCTGGATTCTGATCTCTTGAGGTAATAAGCAACCTTTGCTTGGAAGTTCCAGCTTTTAAAGTTTATCTCTGCTGTATAATCTGCAGGCTTTGTACCTTTCCACCCACGTGGTTAGAAAGTTAGAAAGTTTTGAAAACAAGTCTGTTCTGATAGCTACTTCTCAGCCTGAGTTCCTGAGTCTACCTGAATCTCAGCCTTGTGGTAGTTTTGAGCAGGTTGGTTTTAAATTGTTTAATGCCTCAGGCCCAAAGAATGAAATTCCTTTTTATCCTTCTTAAAAATGGACAGTGTGTGATATTTTTACTCTCTGGACATCAGAATACAGAATAACAAAGTTGGAAGGGGCCTTGGAGATCTTCTAGTCCAACCCCCTGCTCAGGCAGGAAGCCCTATACCAGTGGTTCTCAACCTTCTTAATGCTGCAACCCCCAACCGGTCGTAAGTCAAGGACTACTCAACTGGTGCAGCACTGTTTGCAGAATGGGACTTTTGGCGGGCTCAGCAGGGCAGAGACAGCCTGGACAATTCCTATTGGCTTTTGAAAGCCCATAGAATTAGACTCTATTCAAGAGAGTCTATTCTATTGGCTTTCAAAAGCCAATAGAATAAAAGGGAGTAGCACAGCTAAGGAAAAGGGGGGGAAATGGTGGACTGCGTTGTTTGGCAACCCCCGTGAAATGGTCGTTCGACCCCAAATGGGGTCCCGACCCACAGGTTGAAAACCACTGCCCTATACCATTGCAAACAAATGGCTGTCTAATCAATTCTTAAAAACCTTCAGTGTTGGAGCATTCCCAACTTCTAGAGGCAGGTTGTTCCACTGATTAATTGTTCTAACTGTCAGGAAGTTTCTCTTTAGTTCTAGGTTGCTTCTACCTTTGATTAGTTTCCATCTATTTGTTTCCTGTCCTGCCTTCAGGCACTTTGGAAAATAGCTTGACTCCCTCTTCTTTAGGGCAGCCCCTGAGATATTGGAACACGGCTATCCTGTCCCCCCTCGTTCTTCTCTTCATTAAACTAGACATGCCCAATTCCACAACCAGGGACATCAAAAGGGAAAGAGGAAGTCCATCCCCACTTCCTTAACCATCAGCTGCTCTCATCCAGCCTCTTGCAAAAACTGAGGCATGAAAAGCCACTTTTCACCAACAAGTGATTGCTGAATCAGGAACGGGAAACGAAAATTGCTATCTGCAAGAATACATGTATACCAAAAAAAAAAAGAGCTTTCCTGGCCCCTTGACAGGAAAGGCAATTTGCTGATCTTTCCCAAAGCTCTTGTTCAGCATTGTTTGGAAAAGAGGTTCCTTCTTCCCTCCCTCCCTCCCTCTCTCCCTCTTTCTTTTCTTTCATCCCTCTTTCCTTTCCTTTCCCCTTCTCTTCCTTTTCCTTTTTGTTACTCAGTCACTGAGTTATAAGAAGCCTAGACTGATGTTTTGTGCTGAGCAGAAACCTGAAAATCTACTTACAACTCGGTATAATCTGTGACTCTTACCAACAAACCACGGTGGGTAGGTTAGGATTTGAGGTGAATCCAGATAGCTGCAGTTTCTCCCACAACTGAATCATGTGAAGAAGAGTTGCAGGAATTGATTATATCTAGTTTAATGAAAAGAAGGAGTAGGGGGTGACAGGATAGCAGTGTTCCAATATTGAGGCGCTGCCACAAAGCAGAGGGGGGGGGGGGTCAGCCTCTTCTCCAAAGCACCTGAAGGCAGGTCAAGAAACACTGATGGTAAATCATCAAGGAGAGAAGCAACCTAGAAATAAGGAGAAAATTCCTGACAAATGAACACAATTAATCAGTGGAATGAGTCGCCTCCAGAAGTTGTGGGTGCTCCATCACTGGAGGTTTTTAAGAAGAGACTGGACAGCCATTTGTCTGGAATTGTATCGGCTCTCCTGCTTGAACAGGGGGCTGGACTAGAAGACCTTCAAGGTCCCTTCCAACTCTGTTGTTCTGTTACCTACACTTTGTTGTTGTTGTTGTTAATTGCGAAGTCGTGACCAACTCATCGCAACCCCGTGGACAACATTCTCCAGGCTTTCCTGTCCTCTACCATCTTCTGGAGTCCATTTAAGCTCACGCCTACTGCTTCAGGGACTCCATCCAGCCACTTCATTCTCTGTCGTCCCCTTCTTCTATTGCCCTCCATCTTTCCCAGCATTAGGCCCTTCTCCAGTGAGTCCTTCCTTCTCATTAGGTGGCCAGAGTACTTGAGTTTCAACTTCAGGATCTGGCCTTCTAAAGAGCAGTCAAGGTTGATCTCCTCTAGCACTGACTGGTTTGATCGCCTTGCAGTCCAGGGAACTCGCAGGAGTCTTCTCCAGCACCAGAGTTCAAAGCCTCCATTCTTTGGCGCTCAGCCTACACTTTAGTGCAAGGCATAAAACAAGGCTGGTTTGTTTGGAAGGGATCCATGGGTGTTCCAAATGCGGTAGATTCAGAGCAAGTATCGGCCAGGGTGGAGTTTGGCGTCACTGAGGGTGCCTGGGGGTACTCAGGATGAGATGCCAGGAGGGAACAGGCGTCCTTCAGGAGATCTCAGGGAGACTTCAGCTGAAGTTCTTGCCTTGTGCAACCAAGCAAACATCTCTATCCTTGTGAAGAGGGGATTGATGAATTGACCAACATTTTAAGAGGAAGAGAAGAGGACTTGAAAAGGTCTGATCTCTCTGGGGAACAGAAAGGGCTTGTGTATGACGGGAAAGGTGTTGTTAAATCAAAGGCAGCCTTAAGAGGGTTTAAGATGTTCCACAGAGGAGTGGATGAGTCTCCATCTTCTCTCTCTCTCTCCCTCCTTCCCTCCCATGCCTTCTCAGGGCTCTTTGGATGTCAAGTATCAGCAAGCACCCTTCTCTTTCAGCCTGTCCCAGTTTTAGTGTGGCAGCGTCATTGCAAAAGTGGCTCTCAGACCCCGCATTGGAGCCTGCCAACATCACTATAATTTTCCTCTGCTTTCAATAGCTGAATTTCAGATTTGGGGGGGAGGTAAGCAATTTATGGGTTGAGAGACGAAGTGCAAGTTTCTGCACTTTCAGTGGGGATTTCCCAAAGGTTTGGATGATGGTTTTTCCCATGCAGCAAGAACTAGTCCTTGCATTGTCTTTGCACCAGGAATAAATAGTGAATATTTGTTGTCCGTGCTATCTGCTGAGCAAAGGAACAACTAAAATCCACCTGTGCAGGTACAGTGATGCTTCAAAATTTTGCTGGGGATTCTGCATCTGGTCAACAGTATAATTGGGGAGCAAAATTAAATTTATTTATATTCAAACCAGTGTTTTTCAAACCTGACAACTTGCTGGCTGGGGATTTCTGGGAGTTAAAGTCCACTCATCTTAAAGCTGCCAAGTCTGAAAAAAAATAGTGATTTAAATCATCCTGATTTTCTCCAAGGTGGTCCAAGCCGTTGATAAGTTTCTATTTCATGCACCATGTTAAGCAATAGTGCAGTCTCGCTCAGCTTTACTTTTGTGTGTTACGCGCCAATGATTTGTGGCTTGCTTTATTGTGTGACTCCCAACAAAGCTATTGAATAAGCCCTGGATCAACAAACTGTGACTTAGTGTGACATGTGAATTTAATTTATACAATCATGGGAAACTAAAAGGAAAGGTTAGAAAGGTTGAGAACCACTGGTTTAGGGTTTTTTTTTAGCTGTCCATGGTATACTTTGGCATCCTATAACCACGTGTTATACTGACCATCAGTCATGGTTTATAACCATGTGTTATGCTGACCATCAGTCATGGTTTATAAAGTATAAACCAGTTTACACATTACACTTGTATGGTGCAATAGGAAAACCTGTCCCACCCCCCCCCCTTTTTTTTTTTTTATCCTGACAGGGATGCTGTGTTGATCAAATTGAGTAAGGGAGAAAGTGCTCCATAATCTGTTTGGAGATTACAGGTGACCCTTAACTTACTAGCGACTGTTCAAAATCACAACGGCACTAATAAAAGTGACGTGATAAAAGTGAGTTTCACACAGCCGTGGCAGCATCCCCAGGGTCACGTGATCAAAATTCAGATGCTTGGCAACCGACTCGTATTTATGACGGTCCCAGTGTCCCAGGGTCGTGTGATCCCCTTTTGTGACCTTCTGACAAGCAAAGTCAATGGGGAGGAAGCCGGATTCACTTCACAACCATGTTGCCAACTTAACAACTGCAGTGATTCGCTTATCGACTGTGGCAAGAAAATAATAATAATAGAGTTGGAAGGGACCTTGGAGGTCATCTAGTCCATCCTGCCCTACTCAGGCAGGAAACCCTATACCATTTCAGACAAATGGCTGTCCAGTCTCTTCTTAAAAACCTCCAGTGTTGGAGCATTCACCGCTTCTGGAGGCATGTTGTTCCACTGGTTAATTGTTTTAACTGTCAGGAAGTTTCTCCTTAGTTCCAGGTTGCTTATCTCCTTGATTAGTTTCCATCCGTTGCTTCTTGTCCTGCCTTCAGGCGCTTTGGAGAATAGCTTGACTCCCTCTTCTTTGGGGCAGCTCCTGAGATACTGGAACACTGCTATCATGTCATCCCTCGTCCTTCTCTTCATTAAACTAGACATACCCAATTCCAGCAACCGTTCCTTATATGTGTCTAAAACGTTTGGCTCTATTTTAGTCATAAAATGGAGCCAAACTCACTAAATAACTGTGAATGTTGGGCTCAGCTGTGATCCTAAGTCAAGGACTCTCCGTACTTTGAGAAGAGACAGAATAGAATGAAAAGAATTAAAATGCAGCGTGGAAGGGATGGTGTCCTTAATGCTGGTAAAAGGTGCAGCGTTGAACTGCGGGGAGCACGTCCTTTGGGGATTCTTCCCCCTCCCCTTGTGCTTCTCCGGGGGCAGGAAACTCTTTCCATTATTAACATGGAGCTCTAGAACTTCCACCCGAATCTGAAAATTACAGACCTGCTTTTATGCAAACCATCTTCATCCACCCTCCCTGCATTACGTCTGCATTTAATCTGCATTATTCACCTTTAGTTATTAATGAAATGAATGCAGCAGTTTAAACAAAGGTATTTGCATAATTCATAAAGGTAACAGAATCCTGCTTTTGTAAGTGCCCGGTGGTCTGGATCTCAGTTGTTTAGCTCTGGAGCCTGGCTGAGGAATTGCTGGCTGAGGAATTCTGGGAGTTGAAGTCCACAAGTCTTAAAGTTGCAAAGTTTGGAGACCCCCTGTTCTACCTCTTCAAGAGGGTTCACCTCCCTGTATTTTTTTTTTCCTCTGAGTTCCTGTTTCTCCAGGTCTGTCCTTCCTTGCATGAGACAAAATCCTTCCTTGCATGAGACAAAGTCACAAAATAAGGTGTAGTTACCTCTTTAACTATTGACATGACTTATGACTATAATTCTGGGTTCGCTTACAGTCGTAAGTCAGGGACAACTTGTAACCAGGCAATCGAGTTATGCCTGATAGGGTTTAACCACTGGTATGAGTTTTGCGGACAGCCTGACCAAATTGAGCCACATACAAGAACAGGCAATCATATAGGTCTGATAAGATCTCTTTTCAACAGGATTTTATCCTGTGACAAGAAGAAATAATATTTGTGTATTTGAACTGGCCAGGACAGTACAGTGAAAGTGACTCGTCTAGAAAAACAGGATTTTAACCGCACGGGACAGCCATAAATGATGGCATTCACGTATCTCAAAAAGTTATTATTTTTGTCAACAACGGTATAACAGAGTTGGAAGAGACCTTGACATTAGACCAACAATCAACATGCAAACAGTGTCCCAATCAAGCAACTGCCTTCAGAAGTTGCAACTGCTTCATCACTGGAGATTTTTCAAAAAAAACCAGCCACCTGTCTGAAATGGTATCGGACAGGGGTCTTCAAACGTGGCCCTTTTATGACTTGTGGACTTCAACTCCCAGAATTCCTCAGCCAGCGTGCCTGGCTGAGGAATTCTGGGAGTTGAAGTCCACGAGTCATAAAAGGGCCACGTTTGAAGACCCCTTGATATAAGATCTCCTGCCTGAACAGGGGGCTGAATTAGAAGACCTTCAAGATCCTTTCCAGCTCTCTTCTTGATTGATTGATAGAATATAAACGGAGAGCAAATCCTATTCCCTTCTAGCGCTGTTGATGTCACCTAGTTTGGGCAAGGAAACGTCTGCAAGAAAACCACCAAGCTCAGAGGACACCAAGGACCCCACAGCTCAAATACAAACTACAAATATTCTATCGGATTCTTTCCTAGGATGGTTCTGTTCCTAGTGATTTTTTGCAAATGGAAACTGAGTCAGAATCCTGCTCTTCAGGATAGTTAACAGAATAGTTAACAGGGCCAGTCTTCCAGGAATTGTGGCAGGCTTTATTCCTCTTTCCACGTCTTCAGCTTCTCCTTAACATCTGGCAGGTAGGTTGAAGAGCAAATAGGTGAGCAGGTAGGTTGAATGGTAGATGGATAGGGACAGGTGGGTTGGTGGGCAGGTAAGTTGAATAGCAGGCAGGTTGCATAGCAGATAGATAGGCAGGTAGGTTGAAAGATAGGTGGATAGGCAAGTAAACCAGTTGGATAAATAGGCAGGTAGGTAAGGTAAGTAGGTAGGACAGACAGGTAATTAGATAGGGTGGCAACAGGTCGACAACTTCTATAATACTGTGGTAATTCAGTTATCCAGTATAGTGTTTTGTTCTGCTACTATAATGGGCTTAATAGTAAACCTATCCATAGCCAGGCAACTTGGCTTAAAGACAAAATCGCACTGCATTGTTAAGAATTTCACAGCTAATTTAATTTGGATGGGAGAACACTGTAAGTCCTTTCAGTGTTTACTTCTCCATTTTCAGGATATTTGAAATGCAGACTGGTCCATAAAGAGTAGCAAACACCCCAAATGAAAAAAGCTTTTTTTTTTCCCCTGCTAAGTTTATTTCTTAGCCAAAGAGGCAGATCCTTTCTGGAAAAACAGCTTCTGAAATTTGAGCAACAAGATTTTTATCTTGAGGCAAAATGACATAATGGCAGTTAACATTGAAGAGGAGAGTAATATAACTCTTTATCAGCTTAATTTCTAAGGACGATTGCATAAAACAAACCTTGATCTGGGCACTTTTCCTGTATGAAGAAATAATTGCTACTGAGCACACTAACCTATTTTTCCTGTTTCACGTTGCACTTCGTATTTAAGACTTTTTTTCCACTAAGGATTGAAGGAGACTCATTCCGGATTGTAAAATATATCGGTTCCAGAGGTTTCTAATAGCTGAAAAAACAGTTAACAAGCCATTTCCAAAAATGATTAGGAAATGAATTGTGAGATTATTGATTGAAGATAGATATTCCCTAGTTTCCCAGTGCTCTAAATCCCACCTGAAATTGCTGTTTTGCTGTCTGGAATGCTTGTGGGCAATCCCAGGTCCTCTCCTTGCCCAGAGAGGATTTACAGGTAGTCCTCGACTTAACAGCAGTTCATTTAGTGACCATTCAAAGTTACAACAGCACTGAAAAAAGGGACTTATGCCCGTTTTTTCGCAGTTATGACTTTTGCAGCATCCCCATGATCGTGTGTTCAAAATTCAGATCCTGGCCACTGGTTCATATTTATGACCGTTTTTGGGTCCCAAGGTCCTGTGATTCCTTTTGCAACCTTCTGACAAGCAAAGTCAACAGTTGTCCATCACAGTAAGTGTTTTTTTTTTCTCCTCCACCTTGTGTAATGTTCCTCTTGTTCTTCAGATACCGCAACCTCATGGGTGTGTGGTACATCCTCCCGATGGTGTGAGATAATTACAACACCGTGCAAGCTTCCTTGTTTGCAAAATGTTCTCTGATACAGGTCACCTTGTGCCTTTGTTTAAGAAGGGTGTATTTCTTCTCCTGCCCTAATCCAGATAATTAGATATTTTTTTCCACCTTTGTTTTCACACTTATTTAATAATAATAATAATAAAGTTGGAAGGGACCTTGGAGGTCATCTAGTCCAACCCCCTGCTCAGGCAGGAAACCCTATACCATTTCAGACAAATGGCTGTCCAGTCTCTTCTTAAAAACCTCCAGTGTTGGAGCATTCACCACTTCTGGAGGCAGGTTGTTCCACTGGTTAATTGTTCTAATTGTCAGGAAGTTTCTCCTTAGTTCTAGGTTGCTTCTCTCCTTGATTAGTTTCCATCCGTTGCTTCTCGTCCTGCCTTCAGGCGCCTTAGAAAAAGCTTGACTCCC